TGTTTGCATTTTAATCATGTTGGGAATTTAGTTGTTGTGAAATATCTCAGAGATTTATTTACAAAAACATTACTGGACATTGTGAAGAGATTAAGAGTAAATCCAACATCCATCTCTACCAAAATCATCCTGGCTATCCAAACTGCATTTCTTCAACTCGAGTTCTTGAGAGATGGTGTCCTGCAACCTTTAGAAGTTTCTGTGATTAAACATATCAGAACTTAGATGAACTTCCCTGAATATTGAGAAAGAAATGCAGGCATTACATTCCCGTTTGCTGGATACATTTAAAAACTGCAGGAAAGTAGTCCTTAAAGGAATAGTACACCCAAAACATGATTAGCCTTCATTTTCTACTCACCCCCATGCTGAACAACACTCTGGAGTACTTTTGTGATATCTCAAATGCATCTGGAGATCTGGGAGGCTTCTTGCTGTCTGCTGACATTCAAATAATGGAGGTCTATGGCGCCCGAGGCAGAAAGGTCCATAAAAGTCCACAAAAAACGTGTCAATATTCCTCCATACTGCTCGTCCAATGTATTCCAAGTGTCCTGAGTGGGTAGCGTCCAGAATTTACTCGAAACGAAGTCATTTAGAATGTTTTTAGAGCATAAACAGTAGTGTATAGGATTTCCTAAAAGCTCGTTCACGAGTCTACGGAAACCGCGGCAGACCAAACCAGATGAAAGTGCGCATTCAACGTCTGCTCTGCCGATAATGCAAGCGTAGAAGAAGAAATGCTGATGTTTACCTGTGCAAAGAAAGAAACAACCAAAGAAAAATGTCTGAGGACTTCAGTGTTGAGGAAGAGCATGAGTTCTTTTCCGAGCTGAATGCGCACTTTCATCTGCCTTGGTCTGCCGCGGTTTCCGTAGACTCGTGAACGCGCTTTTAGGAAATCCTATACACTACTGTTTATGCTCTAAAAACATTCTAAATGACTTCGTTTCGAGTAAATTATGGATGCTACCCCCTCAGGACACTTGGAATACATTGGACGAGCAGTATGGAGGAATATTGACACGTTTTTTGTGGACTTTTATGGACCTTTCTGCCTTGGGCGCCATAGACCTCCATTATTTGAATGTCAGCAGACAGCAAGAAGCCTCCCAGATCTCCAGATGCATTTGAGATATCAAAAAAGTACTCCAGAGTGTTGTTCAGCATGGGGGTGAGTAGAACATGAAGGCTAATCATGTTTTGGGTGTACTATTCCTTTAAGGACTGGCTTTGGACATCCCCTGGAAATGTCATGATTGACTAGGAAAGCACTTATCAAACAACTACCCAAGAGGTCCACCGTAACTCTGGAGGAGTTTCAGAGACCTAGAGCTCAAAAGGATAATCTCCATAATGGGCCTTAAAGAGGTCTAAAGGGGGTAATACAGTGGGCCAGTAATAGAGCGTAAGCGCAGCAGAGAGGCATTAGCATGAGGTACGGGTAGGTTACACAACAGGCAATGTTCTATTTTAAATGATTTATACTGGATGTGTAATATGCTCATTAACTGCTCGTATTACGCACGTAGATACTCTGCGCGATTCCTACTTTAGGATTAGTTTCTAATTTCAGACGGGTATGCGCTCCACTTTGGCCTAGTGCTACATATTTGATTTCTCATCAGATTGGTCAATATGCTGATTTTTAGGTCATCATACAGTAACAGCCCAAAATGGCCCTTCGTAGTCAAACGTCAGCAGAATGGCAGCCTACCTCCCTGCAGCTCCCAGCAAAATCCCCTCCAACTTCCAGCCGCTGGGGTGGATCCCTCCTTCCCCTGAGCGTGTTTATTTTCTTACTCTCCTTTCTCCACCCTTTCACTGAATTACAGAAGTAATACTTTAGTACAAAGATTTATGTTTAAAAGGGAATTTTAGGGGACCAGCCAAGGGCACATCAAGGAAAGTGGGGAAATCTTGAATGGCTACTACTGTATCGTACTTATAAGTTAATAACATTCACACATAGTAATGTGTAATTTACTTACCCGCTCACAAAAGCTTGTCTTTGCTCAGAGCTCCGTTGCCATGGAGTGTTCTCTTTAGTGTCTGTTGTAAATGTAGTAAAGTTTTTAAACATATGCACATATGCCGCTTTCCTGCACTTATGCGTCGTAACGCGTCCGGCGTGTTTGCTGCTTTTGATTGTTGATTTGTTGAGAAAGAGGCAAAATGAAATTTCTTTGACTTTGTCAAAACAAAAATAAAACTGTTTTAATAAAACTGTCGACAAAACCCTTCTTATAGTGGAGACCTGGACGCAACATCCCCGCTTCGAAACACGCAACGTACACATTGGCAATACTTTGGTTAGATTAATGTAATCAAGCTCAATGACCCCAAAGCGCCGTATACTACATGTACTTATTCACAAACTGAAGTTGGCAAGCTACTTAACAGCAACAGCAGCCCTGGGGCTCACTGATATAAGCAGAGCTGTTGTACACAGTCAGCACTGGGAGCTCTCACCACCATCAGTTGGCAATGCGGGTGAAGTCTCGCCAAAGAACACCACGACTGTGATATTGCATGCGGTGCTCAAACTGGCGACCCTCCAGTTGCAGGACAAACCCCTTGCCTCCTATACCACTGTTGCCCCACTGTTGTGGTTTCCCTATCATAATCACATGATCTAAATTGACATTTCTAGTGTGAGAGTGAAAAACTGAAAAGTTCAGACTTTTGAAAGGCTCTGCACAAGTAAATCAGGAGCAGAACTCAAGATTGCTGAACAGCACACAAATCTGCCTGTCCGTCCTTTTATTTGTTTATCGAGGTGACCTTTTCCAGCTTTATTATTGTTTGCCTAAAAGAAAACAGGATGATGACAACAGCATATTTCCGCTTTTGACAGTAAGTGCCTGCAAGCACATGATTAAGTACTCCAAATGATGTTGAGGATATTTCTTATTGTGGGTCACATATACCTCATCTGTGTGACTGATAAAAAAAAAAAACAGCCAAGGTTATTGTTTTGGCATGTTGACATTGATATTGGTGAATTTTTCTTTCAAGATAAATAAGATTAAAACGAAGAAATGTCAAATTATCAAACAAGTGTTAAAGTGCCCTTAGAAAGGACTATATTTTTGACTTGTGATCCCTCTCAGTGAAATAGGACACAACTATTCTTTGATAAAAATATATTTTTTTACATCTCAGCTGTTAAGATTGTCCAACATGAAGACTACAAAGATGCAGCTTCCTTACTGTCCTTTTCTGTGTTGTACCTGTAATCCTACTTGCTCTATGCCTCTTTACGCTGTCTGTAGCTTTAAGTACTGTAAATATTTTAGCCTCAGTTTTGATAGCCTTGGCTAATACCTTAATGTTTTTTTAGGTTAGATTACAGGAAATGCATCTGGTATCAAAAATGTACCCTAAACAACAAATGTAAGTATATACAAGCTGCATGGAAGCTACGTGAAGACATAGATAGAACAACGCTTCATATGTACTGATTCGTCCCAGTTTTCCTTTTAGCTATTCTTGGCTTTATTTAGCTGCAGGTTTTTGGTCATAATCCCGAGACCTGCGACTGAGACCCAGCTTGCTGACATTGGGCATAACATTTCTTTTTAGAATCGCTTTACAGTCTTGAGATTTCAGTGTATGCTGCAGAGATTCATGACTAGGGCTGGGTAAAAATATCGATTTAATCGATTTTGAATTGATTCCTTTACATTTTTGCAAAATCGGTGTCTAGGGAATGAGATCGATTAGTTTTATAGTGACACGCGTGACGTTCACATTCAAATGAGCAGGAAAGATGCACTCAAGATTACTTCAAGCCAGACAGCTGCAAATATAGCCAATAAGTTGATTGAAGTCATTAACAAATGGAGGCTGACCAGCAAAAACCCTGTATTTGTAACAGACAGCGATGCAAATATGGTTTGTGCAGGGAAGATAATGCAGCTCATGCATGTCTGCTGTGTCACGTCTGCTCGCTTGTGTGAGGCTTCACTTTTTCACTTTTCACAGACACGTTTGCACTTTTGAGAGAGTTTTGTTCACATTTGTCCAATTTACATGTTTGCACTTTATGTTTATAATGACAGGAAAAAATAAAATAGATGAGTGTTTTGAAATACAGTTGAACCACTTTTATTGTTGTAAAAACAGATCGAATCGAAATTAATCGATTTAGACTGTATGAATCAAAATCGAATCGATTCATGATTTTGGCGAAAATACCCAGCCCTATTAATGAAACCCCATGCCAGATGAAGAAAAGCAGTCCCAGAGCATAACAGAGCCTCCTCTGTGTTTTACAGTTGGGGCAAGGTTTTTTTTTTCAATCTGGGAACATTGAACATTGGCAAAAAGGTAACATTTTCTTCATACTGCCCATAGGACATTCTCCCAGAAGCCATGCGTCTTTTCAACATACGGTTTGGCAAAATAAGTTTGACTTTTTTATGATTTGTTTCCAGCAGTGGTGTGCTCCTGGTCATCTGCCATTAGGCCCATTTTGGCTTGAAAAAACAGCAGACAAGCAAGGCAGTGTATTCAAATGTGGATTTAGTTTAAAAAATTCCTCCCAGATCAAGTCTTCGCAGCTTTATTTATATTTTTCAAGCAGAGATTTATGATTTTCCTTCTCTGCATCTGTGTGAGATAAAAAAGATTTAAAAAAAAACTCCCCTGAACATCAGCTTCCAGTGGACTGTATGTTTCTCTTTTATTCTTTGTGAATTCTGTATGAATCTGTCAGTATGCCACCTTGGCTTTGCTTGCATATTTGACAGCTTCCACTGTCAACAAGGTGTGGAACTGGGTAAAAATAGCAAAGCACCTGGGTGAGCATTCTCAGCATGGTACTTATGGTCCTGTAATGCTTCTGCTAATTCTACAGAAGAGGTTGAGTCACAGCATTCAAGTAATTAATCTGCTTCTGTCAACCTACAGGAGTAACTGAGTCTGACTTGGCAGGTGCAGAAAACATCTGCTGTTTTTCAATTAAAGGGAACAACAGTCTCTGGTTGTCACAACAGGTGTGGCAGTGCGGAGGCAGCGTGGAAGTCCTGCCTTGCTCCAGGATCGCCCACATTGAGCGTGCTCACAAACCATACACGGAGAATCTGACGGCCCACGTGCGACGCAACGCCCTGAGAGCGGCTGAGGTGTGGATGGACAACTACAAGAGTCACGTTTACATGGCCTGGAATGTTCCACTTCAGGTAAGCAGCTGCCTGGAGTAGGATTTCATATGTCAGAGAGAGGCTGCTGGTTTGTCTAGTTAATTGCATCTGGAGCAGTTTCCTATTAACTAGAAATGAAGACTTCATAAAGCCCATAAGAAAATCGTTTAGTGCTTTGATAGTGCATGTTAAATACAATAAACCAGGGGTCTTCAACGTTTTCCAGGCCAAGGACCCCCAAACTGATGGCGAGATGGAGCAGGGACCCCCTAATTATATATATTGTATGAAATAGTGTTCTATCAAACTGGTCCTATAGTCACTCTATTACAGATGGAGTAATGTTAAGTAATCCCTCCCTGGGATTATTAAAGTATTTCTGATTCCTGGTTGATGGGACAGGTGTTTTGAATGAAACGGTGTCCAGCTTGAAAGAGCTCCTGTGTGTCTCTGAATGTGAGCATTGATGACTGAAAGACATCTTCTGCCTCCATTTATCTGTTTACTACAGTCTGTTGAATTCATGTTAATGTGGATTTAAAGACATTTTAATTAGTGCAAAAAATTGCAGGAGGGAATATAAAAAAAAGTAATCAACTAAGACTTTCGCGACCCCCATGCAGTACCTCTGCAGACCCCCTGTTGAAGACCTCTGCAATAAACAATCTACGGATTTAGAACAATTCTTTCAAAACTACAGCATAAAGAAAATCTTCAATTGTTTTTTTTAAGAGTAATATAAAAAAATGTTTGTCAAAACCAGACTAGGTTTTCTAATTTGTAGTAGGCTGACATTACCGGTGACTCATTTTTTTAAACTTAAAAATACTGAAAACTAAAGGTAATTATCAGAATACTTTATTTGCTATGTTAAGCCCATATCTTACACTTTTGTCTTTTAAAAGCCATTTTGACAATCAGGGTCTAATTTTATTTTTCATTGCAGGCAACAGCCCTTTTTTTTCCTCTAAAAGTGTCTATTTAATGAATGCCATCTCTCCAGGACTTTGCTCTCCAAACATTTATTGTCTCTTTCAGCTCCTTTATTATTTAAGCCTCTCAAGTTGGCCTTGTAGAATTGCAGCATAGATGGAAGGAGCCCAAGGCCAGAACTCTGCCCCTTATTTACTGCAGCATTTTAGATCTAAAGGTTTCAACGCATTGTATTTTATTACAATGCTCGAGGTTGTGGAGTATTAGTAAAAAAAAGAAGCTAAAACTGGAAAAATAATGTTTGTGTTTACTTCCTCTCCTAGAACTCCAGAATAGACATAGGGGACATTTCTGAGAGGAAAGCCCTCCGGTCCCGACTGAAATGCCGACCGTTCAGCTGGTTCCTCTCCAACATCTACCCAGAGCTGCGATCTTACAGTGACACTGTTGCTTATGGAGTGGTGAGTTTCCTTTAAACACTTGATTCAAGTTTATTAATATGTATGAAAATTAATGTCTGAGGCTACAGAAAAATGATTTCATAGAATTAGGTTTAAATCTCTTTGCAACATAAAGCTCATCATCATTTCCCTCCGCATCAGCTCCCAGAGGTTTATATATATTCAGCTTCCCTAAACAAGAAATTAAGCATTTTGTTGGGTTTACATTCATAATCAGAAATTGGCCATTTTTTTTCTTGTTATGCATTTTTACAAATACTTACCAGCCATTACTGTTAATGTTTTGCAAATGTCTTTAAATGGGCTTTCGCCCTTCCAGTGACTCTTATTTTTCCTTTTTCCATTAAACACATTTAATTAAACCTATTGGCCTAATACAATTAATCACATTCAAATTAATCAGTCTCAATAATATTCAAGCCTTTTATGAATGGGTTGGCACACTGCCGCTAAAGCATATAAATCTCTCTGCAGTCCACAGGATTTGTTGGTTTTATTTTTGAAGCCTACATCCTTCCCCTCAGCATCTGAGGTATTTATTTCTACAGTATTTAATTTACATACTGTAAATCAAGGCTTAGTTTTTGAGTGGTTTGGTTTTAAAGCAGAGTTTCAGAGCAGACTATTTTTCATGCTGCAATTTAAGCGTCTAATGGTTCTTTTAATGATAACATAAAATGCCCAGCCCTCTCATTGGCACCCAAGTGAAGATGTAAAAAAAAAAAAAAAATATATATATATATATATATATATATATATATATATATATATATATATATATATATATATATATACATTGTTCAGAAAGGTTTAAATGATCTTGCCCATTCAAAGGGGCATTTCAACTTCAGGTCCGTCTGCTACTGGAACTGCTGGGGCTGAATTACATTCCTACTGTAGCCCAGGATAATATCAGCATGACAACAGTGTAGTGGTACAAATTACAGCAACTGTCAAAAAGTCAATGTTTGTCGCTCAGATATTTTTCTCACCTGGCATCTAATATGAAGCACCTGCATTTTTTGCGGATTGTGACGTTTTTTTGTCCACCAATCATGAATTGTTAAGGCTTATAGCCACACTTCAATCTGAAAAACTCACACAGAGAGAAAAGATAATTAGAAGAATTTATTGATAAGAAAGTATAGTCTTTGGCGCTCAGACCTCGGCAGGAACATTCATGCTGAATTATGCTTTAACATGCATGAGTAGATGAATGTGAATGGGGATGTTCCCCCCGGCCTGAAACTGGTGGTGGTTTGATCCGAGCTGGTTGACAAGGTGATCTGCTGGGCAGAATTGTGGGACTAGAAGACTGAGGGAGCTGACGCCGGGGCTTCACTCAGACACGGGATATAGAGGTCCTGCTCGGTGATGCAGGTACTGTGAACTGTCCATGATGAGCAAGCATGAAGCGACAGTGGAGAGGAAAAACTCCCCTTTAGGAAGAAACCTCTGGCAGAACCGGGCTCAACATGGTGGTCTTCTGCCGGACCAATGCGATGAGACGAGGGATGGTGACAACTGGGATTAATACTCTCTGATGAGGTTGAGGTGAAGTCGTGTCATGAAGGACGATTCAGCTGCGATGGCGGAGAAGGGGAGGTGGGTGGATTGTCGTCTGAATCGAAATCCGACATTGCGATTGCAGGATAGCGGCTGTGGTGAGATTTGAGGGAGTTTATAAAGTGGAAGCAGGACGCTGATTGGGCTTCGTGGTGGAGTAGTTCGAAGCTGATTGGCTCGCTTCGGAGACGGATCGGCTTCTGATTGATGGAGGTAAGTCAGAGTTTCTTCAATTGAACTTCCGCTAGAGCTTCATTTTAGGTTGCCATGCAGGTCTCCATGGACAGTGTGCGAATAACCTCTGCAATCAATTCTGTTCGATGCTGAAGGTCTTCTCCAAAAATAAATGGGGCATTACATTATTGGAAAGGTGGTGAAGTAGAGAAGAAACGCTTTGCACACTGCTCTTTATTGGACAATTTATTTTTTATCAGCTTAATATTGTTTCTTGCCAAGTTTTAGACTGAGAGTAAAACTATGATGAGCAAATTACTTTTTGGACTCTTTGTAAGCTATATAAAAGTTCTACATTTTGGACTATAATAAGTGTGTTAAATCTAACTTTAAAACATTTATTATTCATTTACCTTTCTCTCTTAGTTATTTTTCTTTTTTCTCACTTCCTTCATTCTGTTCTTAAAAAAATATTTCTATGTGTGTGTCTCTTTTATTCTTAATGAAGCAGGGCAGGGAATTGGGGACGAGTGTCCCTAAATATTTATTTCATTAAATAACTAATAACTAAGAGCTCGAGGTCCTTTCCTACCAATCACAGCCCTCCATGTGTCACTGTTGTTTCACACATGAGAGTTGAAGTCCCTCTGCGGATGGAATCCTCTGTAGGGGTTCTATCCAACACCCCTCCATCACATTATTACCTGTTAAGAGGGGATTATCATTGTTATATTTTAAATAATCCTCATTATTACCTCCATCTCCATGGTTTGGGATGTTATCTTTGTTTTTACAGCCACTCTCAAATACCCTGTAGCACTACGAAATCTGCTTATCTCATTGGAGCTAAACTAAACCGGTTTCAATGTCTTAAAGCTGCAGTCTGTAACATTGAGGAGAGAGCAGACTTCCACTGAAAATTTGAAGAAAAACAGGTTTCACTCCACTCCCCCACCCTCACTGCTTCACTCATGCCCCACCTCCAAGCTCCACCCCTCTCACAGCATCTGCGCGGCTACCGCATGCGACCAGAAAGGGGGGGGGGGCATTATTCAGCGTGTGTGAGCTGTGATTGACACTCCAGCAGACGCTCCTCTGGCTGTGATTGGTTGTTTTGACTCGTCCCGAATTATTCTTTCCAGATTGAAATACAGGCAGTAGGCGGGACCAATTGAAGCAGTTTTTTTCACAGGTTACATATCACATGTACTGCTGTCTGGGCATAGGGACAGTTTGAGCCAATATGACAAAAAAGTGATTTTTAAAAACTTACAGACTTCAGCTTTAAAGTTTGTGCAGCAATCTTTGTAAATAACCAACAACAAGCTCCCGTATTTTGCCGACAAAAAATGATTATATGTGCAGTAAAATGCATGTTATTTAAAATCTTCAAAGATCAGGCCCTTAGTGTGTCATGCTTGCAAATAAGGAATACATAATTTGTCACACCGTACTGACCATAAACGAGCATGACCCTCACTACACAGTAAGATCACCCACTCTTTCCAAGACAAGTGTTTTGGACCAATCAAAAAGGTAAAAAGAGGACAAAAAGACTCTGATTTATTTAATTTAAAGAAACAATTTTAGATTGAAGTGCTGAAAAATTTAATTGAAATCTTGCAACTTTTGAGCACAAAATGGAATCTGAACTTTGCTCATGAATCAGTGCTTTAAATATTGGTCTATAAATAAATAAATCTTCAATGCTTTTTAGACATCAAATTGAGCATGTGCTGAAAGTTCTTTGACACTGTTGCCTACTTAACTAATTACAGAGAGCACAAACATCTTAGAAACATATCTGTGCAGAAGAGACAGGGAGAAAGATATCTTGCATTTGTTAGATACTTGTCCTTAACAGTGCTTGATTTGTTTTATAGAGCAAAAGTCAGGAAGTGTGTCTTAGATGTTTTAGGCATACTTAATCAAAGCCTGTCCATCACATTCACTGAGTGCTTCAGTGTCTTGTTGATGAGTCACACTCATCTGTTTTTTCTTGCAGATTTCTATTATACATGGAAGTGACTAAGCAAGTCCAGCATAATTACCGGTATCACAAGAAAAGTGTAAATTAAATCATAATGATTTAATTTTTATATACTGAAATCATGTTTTTGTGAACACATTTACAACCAGGCAAGTCTTTCAACCCTTTATATTTATTTTTTTTTATTTACGTGTTTATTATAATCCTTAAACAATAATCTTTACTTACACAACAGGTGTAATTGCAGAAGTGACATGTAATCAATGCCGCCTTACTCAATCTGGATCACTACAGAGGGGTTGGAAAGTCTAAAAATAGTTTAACAGCTTTTTGTTTTTCAATTTCTGCTCATCCCTTCAGTTGTCTGTAGGCAACTGTCTTTTTGCATCACTGAAAGATGACAGAAACTGTTGAAAGATGAGCAGAGTTCCACCCTTCAGTAAAATCTCTCTGTCTATCTTCACGGTGATGTAAGATTTCTGTTTTGGTCTTTGATTTTGCTTTTGTACCTCCATAACAACTCATACTGAAATGCTGTTATTATCCAAAAATAGTTTTACATTCAGAAAGTTAAATGTTCACTTAACTTACTTGACCTATTTAAGCTTTACTGTCTAAATTTAAGCAGACAAATTGTGGTTACAGGGAAAAGACCTGGGGTGTCATTTATCAAAAAATGCGTGGGATCCATATTAAAAGTGTACACGCATCCCAAAGGAGTTTGCAAAAAATAAAAAATGTATTTATGAATCCATGCTCACTTAGGATACCAGGCATTATTCCTTGATAAATCAGAGCTGTACCTCAGTTTGCGTACAAGGCTCCTCCTCAAGCTCTGCTATCCTTGAGCTATTCCCTGCCCAGCATGGATGTCATTGTGTATTTAAATGAGCCAGTTGATCAATGTCATTAAATGATTACCAATGAGAAACATAACCAAGAGGGAGGAAAAAGTGCAGATTAACCAAGGTGTTTGTTTGATCGGAGGAAAGTCCGAAATATTTGGTAGTCACCAATGATAAAGGAAGTATTATTGAAGAGAACTCCAGAGGCTGATATTTACATTATGTATGGAATTTTTCAGACCCATATGCAGAAACCACCAGAGAGACTTAGCATAACCAGTTTCAATTGTTTCATTATTGGACAAGAAGTGGGGCGCTGTGAAGTCTGCTGACTGGAAAGGCAGAGACGTTGTTAGATGGAGCAAATTATTATTGCATGGTTTTAAGTTACGCAGGTTTACTGTTTGTGTAAGCAGAGTAGTTCT